AAAAAAAAAAAAAAAAAAAAAAAAAGGAGGAAAAGGCATAGATCGTTCACAAAACACTTTCCTTGTATCTCATTGGCCATAACTTGGTCATGAGGCCAGATGCACCTACCTGCAAGGAGTGGTGGGGGCCAGGCTTTCTGAGAAACTTATGTGATCCAATACAAACCAGGAGTTCTTTTATATGGAGGAAGAGGAAATCCAATGACAACAGCCACAGTGGCCTCTACCGTTCCTTAAGGTGCTGTGAGAAGCTGCATGGAGAACGTGAGCACCCATTGCCCAACCCCTGCTGATAGCTGCTGAGTCACCGGAAAGTGTCCTCGCCGAGATAAAACTTCAGACAGTGTGAGGGTACAGGTAGAAAAGCAAAGTAGATTTATGTCAGACTCTGGAAAGGTGCTGGAGAGATGTAAATTTTACTGTGTTTCAGAAAATTATAAAAGTATACAAGCTTTTCAGTTCTTTGTCTTGAAGTTCAGCTGTCTTCTTGGAGGATAGTTATTACTGCCCAGAAAGGCATTTGTTATTTTTTATCTCACTTGAGCATACTTTCCAGAGAGAGCCTGTTGATATATAATTATGTTTCAAATTGAATATTTTAAAATTAGGAAATGAAAAGTAGTCTGATACAAAACTGTTTTTAATCAGCATGTTTCTCATTGCAGTGGATGAAGGTCGCAGTAAGGAACCGGACCGAGTGCGGGTGTTTCACAAGAAAACCGTCATGCCTTACGGTGTTTATAAGAAATACCAAAAAGACCCAAGCGAGGAGGCCACTGTGCTGCAGTACGCAAACCTGGTGGGGCAGGCATGCTCTGAGAGGATGCTGCTGTTTAGAAACTGAAGCAAGCGGTGCCTCCCCCTGGGGGTTTGAACCCTGTGTCTGGGGCAGAGGCTGCAGCCACCCATGAAGTAGACTTGTCCAGTTTCACTGTCATACAGCTTTTCTAAAATACTTTATGGCAAGGTATTTGTGAGAATCTCATAGTTAATATAAAGATTTTAAAAATATATTATGACCAAGGCCAGTAATTGGGGTTTGTCATTTTGGAAGTTTGTTTGTAGAGCAAAACATGCTGAGCTTCTGTAGTTAATATTTTGGAAAGTAAAATTAAGATGTGACTCTAAGTAATATAATCATAGTCATACTATTATTGCTGTTAGAGAAATTCAAGCAGATTTTCCTCAGATCCATTAAGACCATGGTTTATCCTGGGAATCTTTAAATATAGGGAAGAAGGTGGAAAGTATGTTTCATCACTTAGAAAATTTGTCTTCACTAGAGAGCAAAACTGTGATCCTTCAATGTTCATTATTAAATTACTGCCAAATGTTATGTTGTGTAGTTTAATAGAGAATTTGAAAAAGAAAATACAAATACAATAAAGAGATCTGGTGTTTGTATCGGGTGTCCCTTTGTCCTGGCAGTTCTGTTCATGTCTGTCTTCTTGGTATCATTTTCCCTAGAAAAATTGCTACTAATGCTGCCATTTACTTTCAGAAGTATCTCAGTTTGGACAGTATAATGTGTAATTACACCAGTGATGTATTATTTGTTCTATTTCTAAAAATTTAAGAAACAATTTAAAAGAAAAATACTAAGTGTTGCCTTGGTCTGAGCCCCATCTAAAAGAAAGAGGCACTAAGAGAGAGGGAGGGAGGGAGGGAGAAAAGAAAGAAAGGGGCACTAATTTTTCATTCCTTAAAACTCAGGACACTTGTCTTTTGTTACTGATAAAAACAAGTTAATATCTAACTGCTTTTGTAGCTGTGCCACAAATCACATTTCAGTCAGTAGGAGTCATTCTGACCCAGGGCAAGATGAAAAGTCAGAGAATAGGTGCTATCCTTGGTAACATGAAGCAGAGCCAAGCCCCGCTTTCCCTCTCTCTTTGTGGAGCCTTCATCTGCTAAAGAGGCCTGTGGGCCCTGGGCTAGGTGTAAGTTTAGAACCAGACATATCAGCACTTGCTTACAGTCAGGTAGTGTTGGAAACAGGATAAAGAACAGGGGAGGAGGGCTATTTTCTTGTACTGTCTTACTTGGTCCTTTCTGCTGCCACCTACTTGGCCATTTACTCCACTGTAGTCCCCATTGTACCCATTCTTATGTTTTCTGTTGATTGATCTTTTTTAGAAACCATATTTTAAAACTACTGAATTTAAACTTTTTTCCAAAAGGCACTGAATTTCAATGGAACATTTAACAGTAACCATCCCTTTGTTAGAATACATCAAAGGATCATAAAATGAAGATTTAAAAAATGAAGTGTCTGTACATTCAGCTGTGCAGATTCATTCCATGGCAGAAAGAGACATCTACCATGTGCCAGAAACTTTAGTTAATGGGGATAGAAGACTGAAGAAAAACATTTTCTCTTATTACAAAGATTCTGTTTTCGAGATTTTGACCCATAAAGTAGTCTCTGAAGAGCATTTAAGAGACTAACTTGGAACTAGCTCCAGCATCTGTAGAACTTTCTTTCCCCCCCAAAATGAACGTGGTTTCATTTTATGATTTTTGTATGTAAAAATAATACTCACTGTAAACAGTTAAAGCTAAGAAGTAAAAGTAATTTGAAATCATACCATACCCAGCGAAATAAAAAGAACTATTAATGGCACCCCTCACAACTTTAATACAAATAAATTTATGCTATATTTTCTGTTTTGTTTTCCATAATAAGTTATGGATACATCTGAAATTTGACAGAAATTTTAAAATAAGATTGCAAAGAGAGTGGTAAATACTCTTAGTGTTATTAAAATAATTCTAGGATAGGGTCCGTGCTTGGCATCTTTGACATTGGGTGTCTGGGTTGCTGTCGATTGCATTTCATTTGTCTCTCATCTTTGTGATTAACATTTAGATGCGTATTCATAAAGATGGAGAGAAAACTTGAATCTAGCGTCTTAGCAGAACTCTAGTTTCTTCAGAATTCAGTTTTGGATTCCTTCAGAGGAAAATGATCATCTTGTCAGTGCACTGAGGTGCTGTCCGTGGGTTGGCTTCCTAGATTGGCTCCACCAAAGCCTCACAGTGACTTGGGCATGGAAATTCTTCCACTCAGTTGCTATATTCATATGAAAGTTTCTTTGAAACTAGTCGATCTTAGTAGTCCAGGTGTCTCTAGAGTTCCTTATTCTCTCAAGCCCTCACTAAACGAATGCTGGTGGTGGCCAGAGAAGGACATTCACCAGAAGTGGCCCAGCTTTGTCAGTTGATGCGCAGTCTGAGACCCAGGATTTCATAGTAATGGCTTTTATCTAAAGGAAAACGCATGAGAACCTTACAAAGACAGTTTATATCTTTTCAATGCAGGAAGCCTTGCATTTGCAAACTTAGTGTTTTATTTTCCTTCTGATTTGAATAAATTCAAACCTGCCTCCATGCCTTGGGAGCAAAGATGTAATCTTGATCCCCCAGGCTGTCATCTTTACTTAAATTATTTCAGTTCTCTGAGGTCTTAGTTATTTTTGTTAGGTGTAATATGAGCACTTTTTTATATTCTAAAAGAGAGGCTATTGCCAGATGAATATATTATTCATTTGATTGAAATTATTTAGATAAGAAATTATTACTGTTTTCTTTCAAACAGCATATCCTATTTTTCATCCACTTTGCAAATGCTAGTTTTGTGTGATTTCTTAACATATCAGAATCTTACTGTGTAAAAGAAACTTTCCAGATTTTTGAGTACTACATGATTTGAATTTTATAGACTGTGTTATTTCAGTATAAATAAAGGTGAAAGAGTATAAATACATTTATTATTGTTAAACATATGTATTATTGCTAACTTAAATAAAGTGGAAACAGTTGGAAAATGTTTGAATTGCAAGTTATTCAAATGTGTATTCTTTTTCTAAAGAAAACCAGTGATTTAAGACAAAACAAGTTTGATTGCATGTGATTTTTGTTTTCTCTTGTGTATGCTTTTTTTTTTTCAGCTTTAATTGAGTTTATTGGCACATTTTAGGGATACAGTACAGTTACATTATTATTGCTAATAAATAAAGTGGAAACAGTTGGAAAATGTTTGAATTGCAAGTTATTCAAATGTGTATTCTTTTTCTAAAGAAAACCAGTGATTTAAGACAAAACAAGTTTGATTGCATGTGATTTTTGTTTTCTCTTGTGTGTACTTTTTTTTTTTCAGCTTTAATTGAGTTTATTGGCACATTTTAGGGATACAGTACAGTTACATTCATTGTTGGGATCTTGTACCTCTACATGACAAGTCTTGATTCTCATTTTTTCCCCTTACCTCTGCCCTCCCTTCACCCCCTCCTCCCCTCCCCATCTACAAACACTTTATTTTCATCTTTTCATTCTCTCACATTTTTTTCTTT